CCCCCCCCCCCCCCCCCATTTTAAAAAAAGACAGTTTTCGGTCTGTAGTTTTGCTCGAAACCAAAGAAAGCAAAGGAAAAACTATGAGTTAAATCAGTTTAAGGGACAAAGGGAAAATCTGTCTTTTTTGCTTCCCGCACTTAGTATGTAGCAAGACTTTTCTATATATTGCTGAATAAATTTATTATTTAATAAATAAAGACTGCTTGTACTTCAAATACAATGGTTGTCTCTAAGCAGTTGCTGATAGCCAGGCTAAGTCCATAGTCAGCACCAAGACAACTATATTATGAACATGTTTTTTTTTAAATGGGACATTTTGCTACTTAATTATATGGTAATCTTTCAGCACTGTTCAATTGAGTATATTCTCTCACAAGGACTTCAGCTGAATGCAAATCCCAGAGGCTCCCTCCTTTCTGTCCCCTCTGTTTCCTATCTTCTGCCTCTCTGATCTTTCTCTCCTCTTCCCAAGGTCTATAGCAGAAGGCCTGGCAAGCTTTTGTAGGCTTTTTCCCTTAATTTTAAAAGACTTTGGATGAACTGTACAGTGAACCTGCCATTGTAGCCTTTTCAGGGGCCACTGTGAGAAGGAGGAAAAACTTTTGTGATACTGGGGTTGGGAGCATGACCAGCTGCTGAAACTAGAACAGTGGCCAGTGTCTAATTGTAGGATCAGCTCTATTTGGTGGACATGCAAATATGCATATTTTATAATTCATGGAGGATATTTCTGATATCTCTAAGTGAAGGGATTACATGATCATATTTCATAACTGAAGAAGAGGTTATCCAAATTTTATCAAATGGATAGAATCGACTACTTGAAACCAGTCATATCCATCTGGACTCTTTTTTTGGAAATCACATCCTTTCACTTTGACCTTCCTTTACTACTGTGGTTCCTTCCTAAAGTGGCTGTGGGCATATCTAGTTCAGCTTAAACAGGGCCCTGAGTGAGAGAATTTTGGTTGGATCACATTTCCCAGACTAAGATGAGGTCAGGTTAAGTATTCTTCATTGCATTCAATGGCTGACTAGTATTATAGGAGATCTTTGTTTCTGTTTAATCCATGAGAAATGGTTCTCTTTATTCTTTCTTGAATCAGCTAGTTTTTGAAAGACACTCTGACTGGAATGAAGCTTTAAGCTATGCTATGGTCCTCTGAGCAGAGAGAACGGCCAGGTACATATGGAAACAGCCCTGAAATAATTGTGTGGATATTGGGGGGTCATCGAGATGGTTTTAAAGTGATTTAAAGTAGAACTTCCACACTGTAGCAGGAACATGGCAAACCTACTCTGGAACATAGATCCTGGGCATATGGAGATCATGGCACTCGTCTTTAATTGGAAAGGAAAACACATCTTGCACAGACATAATATTTCCAGTGATTGTAAAGACTTCTATTAGGCATTGGTGTTTTGAATGGAAGAGGTATAATTGGTATAGATCTACTCACCCAACTGGTTCTGCGTATCTATAAAATATGAACCCAAAACAAAGAAGTCAATCAATTACAAGGCTTGAAGTAGATTAAACACCTTGATTTTATGAAATTTGGCAATTAGAAAATGACTAAACCTAATTCAGAATCATCGTAATGTCGTAATTTCTGGACAAACTTTCTGTTTTTTTACATCTATTGTTTGGAGTCCATTGTTATCCATAGAATCTGACTCTATGATGCTGATATTAAATCAGGATATGGCAAGTAGAATTTCCCCCCATTTATCTATTGAATTTGTCTGCAGAGCATCACTATTTAATGAATTTTGCAACAACAAAGACCCTCTTCCTTACAATAGGAACGAAGATCTGCTTTTTCCAAATATTGAAAATAAGTCAAAGCTACAAGTATCCGTGTTTTTTTCCTTCTTTTTACATCACACCTTGAAATAGGTTTCACATATTCATTTATATAAAATGGTTTATTTCTTTTTAAACTCACAACCAATATCTAAACAAGTAATTGTTTCTCTTAAAAGATATGCTGTTGAATTCTTCAGAATTAATGGGTTGACTAATTATTATGCCACAACTCCTATTCAGGATCCACTTCGGGATTTTAAAGTGAGTTTTGTACACTTTAAAATTTGGTGTTCCTAAAAGGACAGTGATATTTCTCCTTGGTTTGCGAGTGATCCTGCTTTCACCTCAGTCCTATATGCATTCGCCGTTCAAGTTTGTTTTGAAGAAGTAGGGAATTCAGGGCGGGTTTCTGATGGCTCAGATGTCAACAGTGCCTTAAACAACTGAGGAATAAGCAGCTAAGTTGGGGTATATATGAGTGAATAGAGCTATTAGATGTGGTTGTATTTACATTGTGGTTCAGAGGTGCATATTGTTGAGTTGCATGGTATATTTGGGTTGGCTTATATGCAGATTGTGAATGGCAGGACCAATCATTGTTTCCAGACCTGGTCCAGTAGTTTGTTCCCTGCTCAGCCCTGCCATCTTTTTGGACAAATTGTAAATATATTAATTCTCAAACCTTGTATTTTGAATGGTGAAAGCAGTACTCTGTTTTCTTGGGGTTGTTCTGAAAAGAAAAAGTAGGCAACAATATCAATATCACTGATTACTATCCCTGTCCAGAATGATAATAAAAATATACAGGTGACAAATAATAAAAGTTACAGGGCACAAAGACAGAATGAAAGAAATGGTGATGGTTTGCAGTCCAGTTTTTCAGAGATGAAAGCACCATGTGAAATGTTAATTGGGGGAAAGGCTTATTTAAAATTAGAAACATTCCATAAGGCTTACCTTCTCTAAATGTTCCCAAAAAGGGAAAAATTGGTATGATTTACATTTGAAGAATAAGACTATACAAAGGCAAAGCATTGTTTCAGCTTAGTGGAATCACCCCACTGAAACAGTCTAGCAAATCAAAGTGGGGACTTGCTTCAAGCCAGCAAATCAGATCAGCTGCCTACAGTGTCATTTGTATTGCTTCAAAGTGCCTTGCCTATTTGCTGATTTTTCTTCTGCTTCTGGAGCTGGTACAGATGTTCTCCATTGTTGTTGTTGTTCAGTCGTTAAGTCGTGTCCGACTCTTCGTGACCCCATGAACCA